ATTCGGTTCAGGAGTGACGTTTGGCCCGGGCAGAGGGACGGCAGGAGGCTGTTTCGTCACGCCGTGCCAGGGTGTTTTCCTGATTTGAAGGGTGTCTTGTGGCTTGTTTTGTGTGCCTGGAACAATTGCCTGCCAGACCCTTGATTTTTTTCATTCGGTTCAGGAGTGACGTTTGGCCCGGGCAGAGGACGGCAGGAGGGCAGACTCTTGGCTTCTACAAAATCATTCCACTTCTGCTCCCAATCACAAACAAACACAAAATCTAGCATCATTCAGTCTCCAACCACCTCTTGGCTTCTACAAAAATCGTTCTACATCGCCGCTGGAGACCCCCCGGTGCATCGCGGCTGGCTGCTCGCCGAGCCTCGATTGGCCTACTTCTCCGCGCTCGTTTCCACTTGTGACGCCAGGCCCAAACGAGCGCAGCACGTCTTCCATCACATCTTAGCTTGCAGCAGACTGTGGAGTGACCCTGCTTTCTATATGCACCCCCCCCCAATGCTCATGCGTGTTTTGCATCACCATACCTTCTCTCTGCCCCCCAGCACCTTTACTTGCGCCTCCCCCTCAAACCCAATCAAACCTGCACATGAGGGTTCCCCGCCGATGCAGCACGCCGTGGAGGCGTTCTGCCCTACCACCTACCTCATCTCTTGCTCGCACCCTCTACTGGCCCCACTGTCTGCGCCACACCCTCAATGTCTCTAACGCTTACCCCCTCCCTGCCCCCTCACCTACCTCGTCTCTTGCCTGCACTTTTGTCTCCCACTTCATCATCCTCTTGCCTGCACCCTCTACTTCTACCCAGTCTACACTGCCACAGCCCCGTCCCTGCCGCGTCCTCCCGCCCTTAACATCCACATGGGGGTTCCACGTAGCCGATGCAGCACACCGTGGAATCACCATGCCCTCTGTCTGCCCCACACCCTTTAATATCTCTAACGCTTACCCCATCCCTGCCCCCTCCTCACATTGGGGATTCCACGTAGCCGATGCAGCACGCCGTGGAGTCACCATGTGTTCTGCCCTACCACCTACCTCATCTCTTGCCTGCACCCTATACTGGCGCCATGTCACACTGCCTGCCCCCTCCTCACATTGGGGATGCCACATAGCCGATGCAGCACGCCTGGCCTACTTCATCTCTTGCCTGCACCATGTCCCACTGCCACCCCAAGTAAACCTCTCCACCCCGTCTACACTGCCATGGCCCCGTCCCTGCGTCCTCCCGCCCTTAACATCCACATGGGGGTTCCACGTATGCAGCACACCGTGGAATCACCATGCCCTCTGTCTGCCCCACACCCTTTAATATCTCTAACGCT